TAAGTCTGTTGAGACTTTAAGAAAACAGCACCATGAAAGGGCAACCGACAACCAGCAACTTTAAGTTATTTCTAATAACTAATCCATCACTTATCTGACCCTGTCAACATTTATGTACACACCTGAAAAGCTTTGCAGGCCCTCAAATTCCTGAAATCAACCTCGTGTGTTATGGAGAACAATTTCATCTGCCTTTTTCTAGTGACCTATGACTATGCTCCTTTCTAAGGAAGAAAACATGAGATGTCTAAGTGAAAACAACCTGTGGAAATAAATTCAGCCTCACTCACATATTCTATAGAAACGTTTTTATTTTAATCTACTCCTGTACACCTATTATCAAGTGAAGTAAAACCTAAGAGTCTCACATTAATTTGCCTCAATCTCTATTCTGTGCCAACTTCTACAGTAATGGGTACAGGACGTTTTAGTCTGAGGACTACTTTTGCAGAGTTCACAGCCTCCAGAAATACTTCCTCCCACTTGCTGCTCATTTTTGCCTCCCAGAAAACAACTCATCAGGGTTACAGGTGACATTGATGGCGCTCCTAGTAAACACCAATTAGGGATTTCTTTTTAAAATTATACTAAAATTACTGCAAGAAATTAAAATATAGACTTTTTGAAAATTAGGATGATTGACGCTTCCACTATGTACCACCATACTTTTTTTAAATTAAACTTTTTATTTCAAGATCATTGTAGATTCACATACAGTTGTAAGAGATAATACAGAGAGATCCTGTCTGCCCTTTACCTAGTTTCCTCCATGGTAACATCTTGTAAACTATAGTACAGGAGAAATTGGAATCCTCATATGTTGCTGGTGAAAATGTAAAAAGGTGCAGCCACTGTGGAAAACAGTTTGGCAGTTTCTAAAAATGTTAAATATAGAGTTACCATATGACCCAGAAATTCCATTCCTGGGTCTATACCCAAGAGAAATGAAAACATATGTCCACACAAACACTTGTACATGAATGTTTATAGCAGCAATATTCACAACAGCCAAAAGGTGGAAGCCATCTAAATATCCATTAACTGAGGAATAGATAAATAAAATGTGGTGTATCCATACAATGGAACATACCTCAGCAATAAAGAGAAATGAAGTGCTGATACATGTTACAACATGGATGAACCTTGAAAACATTATGCTGAGTGAAATAAGTCAAAGACAAAAGACCACATATTATATGATTCCATTCATATGAAATGTCCAGAATAGGCAAATCCATAGGGACAGAAAATAGATTAGTGGTAGCCTAGGGTTGGGAGTGAAGATTAAGGGAGTAATAGGCAGTGACCGCTAATGGGTACAGGGTTTCTCTTTGGGATGCTGAAAATGTTGTCAACACAGATGGTTGCACAACTCTGAATATACTAAAAATCATATTTTATGGTATGTGAATTATATCTCAATAAAGATGTTTTTTTTTTAAATTAACCCAAATTGTCATTTCCTCCACACAATTAAATCAGCTTGGCTTGACTCATGGGGGAAACAATATAGTATGACGTCACAAGCAGGGTGTTGCCATTGGCAGTCAAGATGTAGAACAGCTCCATCACCACAAGGTCCCTTATGTTGCCCTTTTATAGCCACAGGCACCTCTGTCCTCCCACCCCCACCCCTGACCTCTGGCATCTGCTAATCTGTTCTCCATTTCTCTAATTTTGTCATTTCAAAAGTGTTATGTAAATAGAATCGTATAGTATGTAACCTTTTGAGATTGGCTTTTTTCACTCAGCATAATTCCCTGCACATTCATGCAAGTAGCTATATGTTTTAATAGTTCATCTCTTTATTCCTTAGTAGTAGTCCATGGTGTAGATGTAACATAGTTTGTTTAACCATGCACCTGTTGAATGACATCTGTTATTTCCAGTTTGGGCTATTACAAATGAAGCTGCTATGAACATTCGCAGACAGGTTTTTGTGTAAACGTAAGTTTTCATTTCCCTGGGATCAATGCCCAAGAGTGCAACTGATGTGTCATACGGCAGTTGCACGGTTAGTTTCATATGAAACTGCCAAATTGTTTTCCAGAGAGGTGGTACGATTTTGCTTCCCTACAGCAATGCAGAAGTGATACTGTTTCTCTGCATCCTCACCAGCATTTGGTGTTGTCACTATTTTTATTTTGGCCATTCTAGTAGGTATGTAGTGATAGCTTATTGTGGTTTTAATTTGCATTTCCTTAATGGCTAATGATGCTGAATGTCTTTTCATGTCCTTGTTTGCCATCTGTATATCTTTTTTCAGTGAACTGTCTCTTCATATCTTTGCCCATGTTTTAACTGGATGGTTTTCTTTTTCTACTGTTGAGTTTTGAGAGTTCTTTATGTAGTCCAGGTGCTAGTCATTTGTTAGCTGTGTGATTTGCCAAATATTTTCTCCCACTCTGTAGCTTGTCTTGTCATCCTTTTAACAAGATCTGTCACAGAGCAAATATTTTTAATTTTATTGAGGTCCAATTTATTAATTTTCTTCTCTTATGGATCATGCTTTCAATGCTGTCTAACCCTTTGCCTAGCAATGGGTCCTGAAGATTTTCTCCATTTTTTTCCTAAAATTTTCATAGTTTTACATTTTAAGTCCATGATTCAATGTGAGCTCATTTTTGTATAAGGTGTGGGGCTTATGTTGAGGTTTATTTTTTTGCTTATCAATGTCCAATTGCTTCAGCACTGTTACTTTTGCACTTTTATCAAACATTGGTTTGACATATTTGTGTGGGTCTATTTCTAGATTCTCTATTTGTTTCTATTGATCATTGTGTCTATCCCTCTGCCAATACCCCAGTCTTGATTACTGTAGCTCTACAGTAAGCTTTAATGTGGAGTAGTGATCCCTCCCATTTCATTCTTCTTTTTCAAGATTGTTTTAGCCATTCTAGAGCTTGTGCCTGTCCATATAAATTTTAGAATAAGCTTATCTTATCTACAAAAAATCTTGTCAGGATTTTGATAAGAATTGCCTTAAACCTAGAGATCAATTTGGGGGAGGACAACTTTACTATGTTGGATCTTCCAATCCATGAACATGGGATGCCTCTGCATTTATTTAGGTCTTCTTTCATTTCACCCACATTTTGTAATTTTCAGCATATAGATCTTCTGCATGTTTTCATAAGTGTATACCCAAGTATTTAATTTTCTTTGCAGTGATTGTAAATAGTATTGTTTTTAATATCAGTTTCCACATGTTTATTGTCAGAAAATAGAAATGCGATTGATTTTTGTGTGTTGATCTTGTATCCTATGACCTTCCTGAACTCATTAGTTCTAGTTTGGGGTTTGTTTATTTGTTGTTGTTTTGGGGGCTCCTTTTTGGTACATTCCTTGGGACTTTCTATGCAGACAACCATGGCATTTGCAAATAGGGATAGTTTTATTTCTTCCTTTGCAATTCATATGCCTTTTATTTCTTTTTCTTGCCTTATTGCAGTGGTTGGAACTTCTAGTACTATGTTGAACAAGAATGGGGTGAAAGCAGACATTCTTGCTTTGTTCCTAAATTTAGAGGGAAAGCATTCAGTCTTTTGCTGTTAAGCATGACATAGGTATAGGTGTTTACCACTAAAGGTCTTAGAAAATTAGTCTTCTTTTCTTCCCCACCCTCCCCTTTTTAAGGAGAAGCTTAAGACTTAGGGATTAGCCCAACTGAGATGACAGAGCAAATAGAAAGCGCAAAGGAGATTTCAGTACTTCTTCCAGGCTAGGCTTGCAAGAGTGATGGAACCAAGTTCCTTTCAAGAGGTTGGGGCCCCTTTACAGCCCTAATCAGCGCTAGAGAGCTAATCTCATCATCAGGGCGCTTGTATTCTACAGTGAGCTAAGGGCCCCTATAGGTGGGGCAGAAACTGGCTGTCACACAGGACAGCCTCACCGAATGGGGTGCCTGTCCCTTCTCCGGCTGCCCTGCTCTCCCAGGCAGCTCTCGGCTGCCAGCCTCGTGGCCTGCCAACCTGGGTTGGTGATAGGAGAGTCTCAGATACCCAGATCCAGAGTGTCAAGAGTGGCCAGGGCCAGATTTAGATTTATGTGAGCTTCTGGCAGCGGCTCAACCAAAGAAGAGAACCGGCTGTGAAGAGAGGAAGCAAATTAAGAATTCCAGGGCTGGGTAACACTGATAGCAACAAAGTGCATCTACAATACGTGTAACCCACGGAACAATTTTTTGTTTTTTAATAGGGGAAGGGGATGAGCAGTTTAATCTAAAATTTAAAAAAGAAAAGCAAGTAGTCACCCCCGTGGGCTGCGGTGCCATCTCCCTGTGGGGTCGGGCGGCGTCCAGCCCCTCTCCCTGGCACCTCGCCCCGCTCCCCCACCTCCCCTCCCCGCGGGCTCCCCCCGGGCTGCCCCGGACCACACCTGCGCAGGTTAAACCTGCAGGAACGCGCTGGCCTGGCCGTGGGTGGCGGGGGAAGGTGAGTGGATGTGTGCGGTGGGGTGCCAGGACGAGTCGAGGAGGAGGAAACAGGCCTCCGCTAATGGCCGCTCGGCGGCCCTGGCGGGAAGGAGGGCCGTGGCCGGAGGGGGGCGCCTCAGCTGCCCTCGCGCGAGCCAGCCCCTGGCTCCTCCGGGTCCTCTTCCCACGCTTCCTCCTCGCCGGTCCATACCAAGCCGCCGGGGGTGGGGTGGGGAGGCGGACCGTTCCACTCGGGGAGGGGCGGCAGAGGCGGGGGTGGGCCGCCCGATCTGTTCCTTGCTGGGGGCTGGGCCGCGTCGCGCCGCCCCCGCCAGCCGCTGTGCGCCCAGGAGGTCCCTCCTCCCGGCGGCAGGGCGCGGAGCGAGGCCGGGGCGCTCGGCC